TGTTTACATGCTTGAATTAGGCTCAAATAAATTTTGCGAGGAGTCTGCAGTGCCTGAGGAGAAATGCAGACAACAATGAAAGGAAAGGTTTTCAGTAAAATGAATGGAGGTTTCCTAACGAGCAATTAGGAATTCAGCTCATTTGCTTCATAGAAACACCAGCAGCAGATTGCGTGGCCTTGTGGGACTCCTCCGTTGGCACCAGGCAGCATGGGGATGGTGCTGGAGGTTGTAACCAACTGTGGTGTGAAGGGTGAAAAACAAAGGCCGCTGGCCTCAGGGGCAAGGCTGGGTGTGCGCCCGCCCCTCTGGCTCATGTGTGAAACCCCTTTCATATCAGCCCTAGAGTGCGTTGCTTATTTGTTTGGAAGCTGGAAAGAAATTGCTGCAGCTGAGGCAGAAAATATTAACGGAACAATTTTAAAAAATGCTTGGATAACACAAAAATCAATCCAGGATGGTGGAAAAGTAGATGGATCTCATAAAGAACCCTTGGCCTTTGAGAACTGTGAATATGATTATTTGTAAAGTGGATTAGCTACACACACACACACACACACACACACACACACACACACACACACACAGTTACAGGAGTAGGGAAAGGCCAGCACCAAATGAAGCCAGAGGAACTGGATCAGCTCAAGACTCAGGTTTTAGTGAAGTAATCTCTTTCCACTCTTAAGTACTTTACCTTTCCACTCTGGTTATCGTGGCCCCATCCCTTCTGTGTTCCCTGCCTTACTCTAACCAGAAATGAAATATGAAAGCCTTTCATGAGGTGAAACAGCCTTCCAAAAACAGACTGGCAGTGTTATGGAATGGAAAGTAGCTTAAATTGAAAATAATTTCGGAACTAACCTTCGTGGCATGGTAGCCATCTCATCAACGGTCTTCCGATTTAATGCAGACACCGAGATCTCCCTGTGCACACTGACACAGCTTGCACACAAGTGTCCCACTGTGTGTGCACCCAGGCTACGAAAGGCATTCTTAGCAAACTTGCGTGTCTAGGTTATCTAAATCCTTGGCTTATGTTCTTTTTACCCAAATTTGGGGACACTGGACAGTTTATTATATAACAAAAATAGGAGCTGTTGGCACCGGTAGAAGATTTATAGAAATATAGGATCTTATTACTTACAATTTATGAAAAAGCTATTTATGTATCAGCACAAACAAAATGGTCCATTTTTCAGATCTTTTGATATTTTGATTTTTTCCCAGCTTCACAAGACATAACTATGTTTTGTATTTCCTTGGGTTAAAAATAACATTATGCCCTAAAAATAGTGGCTTAGGCTGAGAATTGCCTTGGGAGAGGGCCTGCAGGGCATGGACTTCACCCCAGCCCCTCCTATTCCAGCCAGCCTCAGCCTCCTCCTTCCCCTCTGTCCATGGCGAACCGAGCCTCTGGTTCCTTCTTTGTCTCTACGGTGATTGTAAGTGGGACGGTGGAGTGGGGTAGGAGCAGGATGCCCACTTTCCCATTCCATCCTTACAGTTTTACGCAGTTTACGCTTTCCCTCACAAGGCCACCCTGCCTCAGATCTGGGAAGGAAGGACAGTTGCTGAGGGATGGGGCTTCTTAGGGCAGCCCTGAGCCATCCCTCCATCCCACTGCTGCCCCCAGCTGTCCTCTCTGTAGGTCAACTTTAGAAACAGGTGGGTGGACACCTGTGAAGATGGCACTCTTGGCGCATCCATGGTTCATCGAACAGGGCTTAATCTAGGCTTCTCTAGGTTTGGTGTCCCTCAAATGCATACAGAGTGAAGTGAATTGCCATCTTTCTCTCTTTTTTAAATATAAGTAGTTATTGAAACTATGCTTTGAAATCCTGTTAAGAACAAATCCAGCTCCCCACAGAATAGTATTAATTGAATGGCAAGCGTTTTTCTCTCAAACTTAATGAAAATGTGAATCATTTACATGTGTGCTTTCAGAATTTGGACTGTTTCTGTACCATACACAGAAGTAGAAGGCATAAAATACTGTTGAATTATTCAATGAAATATTTACCTCAGTTTTAGAGGTTTCTTAGTGACTACTTAGAATCTTATCGACTCTGGACATCACACAGTTGCAAACATATTGCTGGTTGACTCTGAATGCATTGTTATTGGGACTAAGGGGGTTGTAAGACTTTTGTATGTGAATTGCACACATACTTAAAATATATGGAGTTTTAAGGGGGATATTCCAGAGATTTAGTAATTGCTTTAAAGATTAGGTCCACATTTTGAAAATTGGACATCTGTCAAAAAGTAGATGCTATTTATAAATGCTGTGTCCAGCAATAATTGTTTTCTGATGTGGAAATAGTAGTGTAAATGCATTTAATTTCTTTGCACTTTTCTATTTATTCAGTGAGGTTCTATGTGCCCACTGCCTTCAGGTCTGTTTACTAGACACTTTCAGGATGTAGTAATAAATGAGCACAAAATATATTCTCCTAACCATGGAAATGTTACAAGGTACAGCTTGAGGGCTTTGGGGATTTAGAGACAGAAGAAGCATCTCAGTTTGGGTTAGGAAGGGTGACATGACGGTATTTAGGTACTGTATCGATTCACAGTGAAAGTGAGGCTTATTTTCTGGTAGGCACCGATGGCCACACAGGGAAGAGGACGTGCAGCTGGCATGAAATAGGTGGGGCTGTTTGAAGGAAAATGTCCTAGGAAGTAAGAAGCAAGAGGGCTGGGTTTCTGCTCCAGTTTGCCTCCTTTATATTTTTGCTTACCTGTGGGAGGTGAGCACTAGGCGTTTGTGAGGTCTGAGTGAGGGAGTGCATAGTAACTGTTCAGCACGGAAGGAAGCACGCTGGTTGCCTTAGCGGTTGGCAGTGTGTGCTGTTGTTCAGTGCAGGGCTGGATGGGGTGAGATGCAGTGGGGAAGACTGGGAAGATGCTGTGCCATCAGGCAGCAGGGACACAGGCTTCATTTCGTACATCGTGGGGCGCTCAGAAGTCACTGAGGAAAACTAGAGCTTGGCTTTGGGAACTACGTGAGTCAAGGTGGAGTTGCAACATGAAAACTTGAAGAAGCACAAATCCAGACAGGGAGGGGTGAGGGGGATCAGTCCAGGATGGATGCTGGACACGGCTGGCTTTAGGAGAGTGAAGAGCAGCCAGGTGGCCCGAAGACAGCCCCGGAGAGAGCCCGCGGCGCTGTAGGGCAGGGGTTTCCAGAGGAGCCCTGGGAAGCAGGTGGGAGGGGCCCCTGCCCGCATCCCCAGGCCGCACAGTGGCTCTGCAGACCCTGCTCTCCCTTTCCCTCAGCGTTTACCCTCCTGTTTACTCCTCCGACTTCCTGTTAGGCTCAAGTTCCTAACTTCGCAGCCTTCCACTCCCTGTGAGACTTGAACCCCAGAAATGTACCCTCTTCTGCAGCAAGCGTGAAAGCCTCACTTGTGTTCCCTGGAGACAACACAGCTGTCCTCCTCATCCTTCCGGAATCCCTGGGCAGCCAGCTACTCTTGCTTCGGTGCTCTTTCTTTATGTGGGTGGAGATCACAATCCGTACTTATTTCTGAGAGAAAGAATTTCAAACAAACTTTAACCTTTCCAGGGGCAATCTTTTTATTTCATAAAGTTTTCAGAATCTGTTCCTTTAAAATTCTTCTTGACTGTTTCAATGGATTTAAAATGGAGCATGTGTTTCTTCCTTTAGACTCTCCTGCATTTTTTTTTTTTTTTACTTAAATGAGGCTCTTTTAATAAGGCTGTTGGGCTAAAAATTCAAAAAGCGATGGGAAAGATTTAAAACTTGGTAATACATTTCACATTTTCTTAGAGATGATGTTACAGGATTTTTTCTTTCAGGTTCATTAGAAAAACGATTTAGAAAGCCAGTGTTGTTTATGAATGTGATATGGTGCTGTAATGAATATTTCAGTGGTGTTTGGTACAATCGGCGGAGACCCTGAGGTTGTCCCGACCTGCAGCCCCTGGTCCTTGTCCTCCTGCTAGCAGGTGGCCCACGTCCCTCTGAGGGCTTTGGCGTCTGGCCTTGCTCTCTGAGGCTCAGGACTCGTGACAGCCACCCCGTGCGCCGATCAGTGTCAAGGACTCTCTGGCCATTCTTCTTAAATCTCCAACTTTTTTCTCGACTTCCTACCTTGATCTTTCCTGTCTCCGAATGGGTGGTTCTGCCTCCTTTATCTCAAAGGACACGTGCACCGATAAAGGAGAGCTGTCTCAGCTTTTTCCTAAGTTGTCCTAGCTCTTTCTGTTTTTCTCTGACTCTTCCTTTCTGCCCAGTCTGTTCAATAAGCAGCCTGTCTGGAAGCCATGCTAGGTTTCTTCTTCCTCTTGCTTCTTTCGCTAACATCTGGGAGGGTCCATGGCAGAGACCTCTGCTGACAAGTATGGGTTCACAAGAGGAAAACACGTGCATCCCTTGAGTATGACACAGCTTTTTGGCGACCTGGCAGGGGTAGAGCCCCAGGGATAGCTCTGTACTTCTGTGGAGTGCATCGAGGGATGTGCTTGGAGGAGAGAAGAGCTGACTGACTGACTGTCGGGAGAAACAGCAAGGCCTGCCGCTCAGCATCTCGGTCTCCCAGCTGTGGCGCAGCACACCTGTCCTGGAAGTCTCCGCGGGAGAAGGGAGCGGCCCGGTCCCATGTTTTGTCACCCATTGCTGCCCCCACTAACGCAGTCTGTCTGGAGTCTCTGCTTGCTTTCTCCGTTAAGAACACCCTCATCTGTCCCGTTATAGACGCAGGGAGGCCTTTGCTGCGCCTTCCCAGGGCCCGCAGTCCTCATTCTCCCGGCTGAGGTGATCTCTTCTCCCTCCATTCCTGGTGATCCCCAGGGTACTTTTGCAGCTCCTGCCTCTCCCTGGAAGCCTCGTCCTTATCTGGCTTCCGTGGTACCACTGTCCTTAGAGTCTGTCCTCACCCCGACTTCTTCTCCGAGCATTATTGTCCAGAGCTCTCACTAGAGCTTACTCGCCCCCGCTTTGCACGCCCTTCCGGGAGCCCTACGTTGATTCCTACATGGTCAACACCACAGCTCTCAGTTCTGTGCAGACTTCTCTCCTGGAGAGCAGCTCTTTCAGCCACCTGGTGTGTCTCTGTGCACAGTCAGTGGGAGCACCTCTCAGTGACGTGGCGAGCACCGGCTCCTGCGGGCTGGGGATGTGGGGTGCCTGGTCAGCACCGGCAGCTTCCTGGGTTCTATCCTAGCCCAGGGCGTGGGGGGCTTCGGCATCTCTCTGAGCGGTTGTATCTGTGTACTTTCCAAATCAAACGCTCTGTCATCATCTACGGAGAAACTTCCTGTGTCACCGGCCATACTTACCTGGCCGACTTTCTGTATCCAGCCACCCACGGAGCCCTGCATCTGTACTTCTCAGCCCTATTGAAATGCTTTCTTCTACTTGGCCTCCCCTTGACGGTCCTTCCGCCTTTTCTCACACCGTTAGTTTGAGTTGTCCGCATTTCTTACTTCTTAAGGAGACCCTCTTTTCTCGCTTTCTCTTCTTCCCCAGAGCCATCATCCACAGGGTGTCAGGGTTTGTTTATCATGTTCTCCTCAACCTACCTGGTGGCGTGGCTCTCGGCCTCTCCTACAATCACGCCATTATTTTGAGAATACAATCTGAAGGCTTCAGAATGCTCAGACTTTTGGTGTGGCCCGCGTGTCTGGCTGAGTTGGATTTTCCCTCCTTCCATTTCACTTGCTGATCCAAGCTTGGACTCCAGCTCATCAATCTTCTTGAAGATTCCCCAATGATCCTTCTGCCTTCATTGCCACTTTCTTCATTTCTGCCAAGTTCCACTTGTCTTTCACTTTAAGTAGCTACTTCCCCAGAAAGCCTTGGAAAATTAAGGGTTAGGGTTGGGGTTGATCGTAAAGTTGCCAATGAGAGTATTATTTCAGGTGGAAGTCCCTGGAGGGATGGGATTCTCCATTTCCTGGTGTGCAGGAAGACATGGCGATTCTCCTGGGTGGGTGACCCCTCCGATACAGAACCCGGAGAACAGCCTTTCACCTGAGGGTGGGGAGCAGGCCTGCGGTGGATCTGCAGAAACAAACTTGGAAGCAACTTTAATCTTCCACCAGCTTCCACACCTCCCACGTGTCTTCTTCGAATCATTGCTGGAATTTATTGCCCTAGTCTAGATAATCATTTGTCCTGTCATGTAGCAAATTTATTGTTCTCTGTTTAAAAGTAGATAATTATACTTCACTCATTAATTTGAATTTCACTGCCTTACAAACATACCTCTGACTATAAATTAATAAAAATTTTATGCCTCTCTTTTGTTAGCTCTTCTGTTCCTGGAGGCAGCTGGAGAGCTCTCTTTAGCCCTGGGGTGGGCACAGCCAGATCTCTGTCTCTGCAGCTCCTCTGCTGGGTTCTCTCTCAGCTCCTGGGCCAACACTAAGTGCTCCTTCCCTGAATCCCAAAACGTGTCCTGCTAGGTACTTGCAGCTTCGCTCTGACAGCTCTTTTTCAATCCCAGCTTTCACCTCCGTCTTTGGTGTCTTCTTGGGCAGGCACTGACTCTTGAGAGGGTCAAGGAAGAGTAGAGTTCCTTCATTATTTCGTGAGAATGCTGCAACCTTTGGAGCTTTCCCATAGCTTAAAGTGCTGGCTGGATGAATGTGATCAGATATTGCTTAGTGATGATGCACATGATAATTTTCCAATTGAGGGGAAGAATGATAAGAATTTGTACCCATGCGTATTTTTCCTTGAGTCATTTTGAGTTTTCATTATGAATCTTCCCCAGACATTCTAGCATAGTAATTCAATCTCTGTGTGTTCTCTGGCCTATGAATCTGATTTTTGATCTGTATATGTGGTAACTAATTTGATAAGGTCTTATAAGATAAACAAAGGAAGCTGATGCTGGAAAAACACAAGGAGAGCAGAGTGGGAGAGTGGGGTTGAAGTTCCAGTGCCCTGTGGGGAGTGTAGTCATTAGCTGCAAACAGGTAGTAATAAAAGTCAAAAAAAGTAAAAACAGAAATACTACCTCTCATTTGTAAAAAAATTTTTAAAAGTAATTAAGCATGAAAGAAAATCCATAGAATTAGAATGCTGGGGGATATTTTAGGAAAACTGTGTGACACCTCCCACCTATGAAAGACTACGAAAGACAGTCCTCTCATACCATGTTCCTGGTAGCTTGCCAGCCGTGCAGAGCGGCTGGGCAGTGCCACCCGAGTGGGAGCGTCGGTAGTGACAGCGTGCACAGCTGTCCAAGCACCACGGGGCTCTGTGTGAATCAGAACCTGGGCGCCAGCTGAGCTCTTTTCCTGGTCTCCGTTTCTCAAAGAAAGGGACGTGGAACAGTTCTCACAGTTTGGCAGTGTTGGGAGTTGATGTGGGAAGGGATGATTATTTCTTCTATTCTAGAATTTATTCAGTAACTGCTTGGAGGGATGAGGTTGTCTGACCTAAATTACAAAAGAGTGTCTGTGGGCTTTGCTTCTGCCTGTACCCTCCTGTCATGTTTTCCTCACTGTAAAAATAGAGTGCAACACTAATAGCTAATACCTAATAGCAATATGAAGAATACCAATTGGTCAGTTTGGAGTATTTTGCAAATATATCCACTAGCTTGTAAGTATTACCAACTAATACTAGAATAACATTATGTGGTGCACTCACTCACTTTCATGGTTCTCTAATTTCCATTTTATTTTGTTTTTTTGGCATATTTATCTTTTCTATCCTATTCACATATCATGGGTCAAGAAATACTATTTGTTTTTGCTTGTGCTAAAATATTCCTAGTTTTATTATATTTTATTTGGTAACTAGTTTGTTTTAAATGCAAATCATGCCTCTGTTTTTCTATAAGTCTGTTCATTCTTTTTAAATGACTTTCACTTTTCTTTCTTCGTCAACTTATTATTCTTTTATATGTTCTCCCAAACTCCATTTAAGTAATTTGTTGTGTTATCCTTTTACTCCACATTTAATTTTTTATTCTATTACATTTCTATTTTTTCTGAAAAGAATTTTGTGACCTTAGACTAACTAGTGCTGGAACTCTTCTCTAAGGAGGAGAAGACACACAGTTAAGATCCATGTTTTGCATCATATATATGTGGTAAAAAAAAAATCAACTTCCGATATTAAACCACCTCCTATCCTTCTTAATACAGTATTAGTGTTTCTATTGCCTGGGGAGAAAAGGGTACATACACTAGGTCTATACCATGAGAAGGAATAAATTAAATTTAGGAAAGAATTGAAAATTAAATTACATTGATTCACATGAAGAGAACTGTGTTATTTTTGTTAATCTTTCTACGCCAGAAAAAAAATCAAGATAGAACATGAATTTAGGTTTTTATAAGATGCCCTCATATCCGTAGCTCATTTGCATTAATCTAAAGAATATCCCTGAAAAGAACTTGCACTTTAATCCTTTGGTTGGTCATAAGTTTAATGATCCAAACTATTGTTCTAAAATTTAAGCTTTGATTCCAAGCCTAAGAGTGAGCTGGGGAGAAAATCACTTTCACATGTTGTGCACGAAGAAGATGTTTGTTGCAGTATTGTTGTTGTAGCTGTTAAAAGCTGATGTCTCGCTTCTAAAAAAGGAGGAGGCCAAGGTATTGTGGAATAAGAAGATAATGAAATATTCACTAAGGGCCATGGAGAGGAAATGTATAGAAGATATTTGTAATAGTATGTGACGGTCATGTGTCACAAAGACAAAAGATGTGTGAATTTATATAACATACTTTCACTTACTAAGGGTAAGAAATTTAAAAGACTAGAAGGGAATACATTAAAGTGTTTAGAGCAGTTATTATTGAGTAGTGGAATTACCTTTGAATTTTTCCTTTTCTGGAATTTAAATAAAATATTAATGAAGATTTTTCCATCATATTGCATGAGGTACCTATGTCATTTTCATCTCCTTGGGGAAATTTCAGGATGCTAAGAGAGTCAGTGCCATTGCAATTTGAAGGTACAAGGGAGGGTGGGCATTGTGAACTCAGGAGAGAAAAGAAGGAGCCAGAGGCTCTGCGTGAAGGCCTAAGGCGTGGCTGTGAGACGCCATGCGGCCTATTTCTGCCCTGCTCAGAGCACACTCTTCCTTTTCCCCTCTGCAGGATCAAGTCCTGGGTGGACAGGATGCAGGAGGATCTGGTCACGCTGGCGAAAACAGCGAGTGGCGTCACCCAGCTCATTGACGTGAGTAAAATCCGCGGAGAAGTGTTCCTGTTTTGCTTCCTTTGCGTGCAGCTCTACTTCCCAGGGATGGTGCATCTGTGTCACGCATCGGGTACAAAGTGTCAGGGGACCGGCTAGTTAGCGTGTCCAGGTGTCACCGGAAGTGGCCGCTGAAGCATTCTCAGCGCACTCACCGTCCACAGTCCACGGGACGCGCTCGCGGCGTGAGTCCCCGAGGTGAGGTGTCAGAGCTGGGTGCCCTGCGCGGACTGCTACGCTGCATCCATTCTTCGCAAGACCTTACACAGCTTCATGTCTCCCACAGTATCCTCAGGGGGCGCACGTCTTCCCTCCTTCACGGTAGAGCTTATTGTTTTATTAAATTGCAAAGAGTATACAGCCACGTTTGGAGACTGAGTGCCTCACTGAAATTGGTAATGACTGTTTCCGTGCCAGAGACGAAGCACTGCGAGAGGTGATTTTCTGTACGGTGTCTAAACCGGCTGTGAAAATAGCTCTAAAATGCTTTCTGAAGATGACAGGAATATATAATATAAATACTTGTATAGCATCTTATATAGATTAATTTTCTAGGGGAAGAGCATTCTGTGTGTGTAATCTGTAAAATTTGTTTAAAGTGGGTCTCTACTTCCCCTTCAGCATAGGGATTATGCCGGTAACAATTGGAATGTCCTCCCATCCTGTGGTCTCAGAGAGACAGTGAACCCTTGCATGTTCCAAAGTTGTGGTGGGTTAGCTAGTGAAATAACATAGAAGGACTTTCATGTATAATATATAGATAGACATGCTTGGGAAAAATGTATTTAGGATTTTGATTTTCTAGATTTTGGAGTTTTGCATATGCATGATTCAACAATTAGGATTAGGACCCAAATTTAAATACGAAATTAATTTATGTTTCACATAACACCTTCAATGAAGTGTGATCAAAATATATGGTGAATGTTTACATCTTAAAATGTATTAAAGTAAAAGATTGATTGCTGTTGCTGCCCCTCAGAATCCTGCCCTTCCGATCAGGCACACTTATCCCACTGTTCTTGCCACTTTCTGAAGCAACTCTGGCAGTCTTCTTCCCTGAGTGTCTTTACAAGGTGTGATACAAAATATGGTGGCTGCTGCCAACAAGTATCATCCCACAGAAAGATAAACACCTTGCAGTGTGTCTTCATCTACCTGATTTACCGGGCCTGGCAGCATGCGACTTTGGCCTCTTCCTCAAAGTGAAAATGCCCATGACAGGTAAACGTTTTGACTCCATTCAGGACATCGAGGCAGCCACAATCACACAACTACAGGCACTCATGAAAGAGGACTTCCTGAACAGCCTCCAGATGTGGCAAGAATTATGGGAAAGTGTGTCGGGAAGGAGCGGGAGAATTTTGAAGGGAATTATCAGTGGTGTTTTACTCTCATACAGTTTTCCATGTAAACATTCCTTGTCTTTTTCCATCCTATGTTTCCCCTTTGTATAAGGCAGTATCTAATTTTCCCGATGTTCAGCCTGCTTTTGAATGTTCTCCTGTAGGAGGAGCAGGGATGAGTAGGTATCTGATGTATCCACAGTGCTTCAGAAAGTAGCCTTGTTAGGCACACAGTAGTTCTTCAATCTATAAAATAATTGTAGATTTTGAACCAAGGCTGTGTTGAACAACCCTGAGCTTAGGTTGGGCCTTCCCAGCATGAAAATGTGGAATCTAGAATCTTCTAAAATCCAGACCTCCTGAGCCCTGACATGGTACCCCGGGTGTACAGTTCCAGCCCTGACCCCAGGAGCTATGTCCCAGCAGTTCCTGGGAGGAAAAGAGGTTGGGAAGAGACAGTGTCCAGGTAGCCAGGGGCCTCTGGGCAGTCATTGGAGCTGGTGGAAGGTCCAGTGGGTATTCTTTGTTAATTTTTATTTTAAAACTATTTGAGTGAGGATTTTCCATGTACCTTCCTTGTCTTTTTCCATCCTATGTTTCCCTTTGTATAAGGCAGTATCTAATTTTCCCGATGTTCAGCCTGCTTTTGAATGTTCTCCTGTAGGAGGAGCAGGGATGAGTAGGTATCTGATGTATCCACAGTGCTTCAGAAAGTAGCCTTGTTAGGCACACAGTAGTTCTTCAATCTATAAAATAATTGTAGATTTTGAACCAAGGCTGTGTTGAACAACCCTGAGCTTAGGTTGGGCCTTCCCAGCATGAAAATGTGGAATCTAGAATCTTCTAAAATCCAGACCTCCTGAGCCCTGACATGGTACCCCGGGTGTACAGTTCCAGCCCTGACCCCAGGAGCTATGTCCCAGCAGTTCCTGGGAGGAAAAGAGGTTGGGAAGAGACAGTGTCCAGGTAGCCAGGGGCCTCTGGGCAGTCATTGGAGCTGGTGGAAGGTCCAGTGGGTATTCTTTGTTAATTTTTATTTTAAAACTATTTGAGTGAGGGTGAGGTTTCATCCCGCCAGTGAGGTGGGAAAAGAGAAGACCAGCACTGGTTTTCTGTGTATATGGCTCTGTTTGTTGACAGAGTGAACTTGGAAGCAGGCTGCCTCAACCTGTCCTGTTAGCGGGTCCTGGGCTCAGGATTTATCTGCCTAGCTGCACTCACTGCTGCTTTCGGTGCTGACCTGGTACCTGGGGCTTCACTAGCCAGCCGATTTTGCTGTACATAATGAGGCACAAAAAGTCTCCTGTGGTTTCCACCCTGCTTTGTGAAGCATGGGCAATTCAGAAGTCTGTCGGTGTGGATAAGTGAGTAAGTGCTTGTGTCTGAATTTGGGTGACAGAATGGAAAAGTTCTCCTAGTCTCTGAAGTGAGATACGCATCAAGACAACGGCAGAAAAGTTACAAATCAGATAATTATGTGCTACATAATGTGTGTGTGTTAGAGATGAGCATAATTCATTACTGGAAATATAATTCAGGTTTAGGGCACGTGCAGAGTGGCTTTTTATAAGGTAAAGGATTCCATGTGCCTCTTTCCTCTTCTGCACAAGTGTGTGATGTGGACAAAAGGGAGCATTGTTTCAGCTGTGGGAACTTAAAGCAAAACCAACTGAGGCTGCAAGGGGAGTGAGCTTCAGCTGAGATGAGGATGTTGTTGTCAGTGTTTTGGTTTGTCTGCTTTTCTTTGTTTGCATGAGGTGCTGAGGATTGAGCCCAGGGCATTGCTCAGGCTTGGCCAGGACTATCCTGCTGAGTACAGGTGGGGACTGGATACCCTGTGGTGGCGGGGAGTTGAGACAGAGGAGGAATTTAGGTTTCCGGAGTTTGTATTGTGGAAATGGCTTTTCCCAAATGGACTTGTGTGATTATTTTTGTTGGTTCACCAGCAACTACATTTTTTTCAGCAAGTCCATGAAAAAAAAAAAAAAAACAAAACGCAAGGAACAATATTTCCTCAATAAAATATCTTTCTGATTTTATTTTTATGACAGTTGCTTTGTGAGCCAAGGACAGTTGGTAAACATTATTGGACAAATTCAATACTTTGACATTATAGGTGAGAGATTTTTACCCAGGTTACTTGCCTGTCTGATGTTCAGACACTATTTTTATATCTTTGATGCATTTATGTCTTGTGGAATCATTCCACTACTTAATTATCGGAGGATATGTGTGTCTATCAGTTATTGCATTTCTTCATTGAAAGGGAATTGTGACACTCAGCAACTAGGCCACACACACACACACACACACACACACGGAGAGATCCGACTGGAGATTTTATTCAAGGGGTGGGAGTAGAGGGAGAGAGCAGAGAGAAAGAGCAGAGACAGAATAGAGAGAACAGAGACGGAGAGGAGGAAGAAGAGAGGAAGAGAAGAACAAAGACAGGAAGGTCCTTTTATCAGTTTTGGGCTGGGCTATTGCTTATTCATGAGGAGTGGGCTACTTTTAACCTATCACTGGCCAGGCTGCCCTTTATGGCTTTGGTCCTGGAGAAACAGGTTTAACATCTCCAGACCGCTGTGGCCTTGAGGGGAAGGGAAACTAGAGATAAGAGCATGAGGTCTTTAAGAGCCAAGGTGCACCAGGAGAATGCAGCCTGTGCCGGTGGCATCACAAAATACTTTAACATAATCAATTCCCTAACATTCATCCCACAAGCTGAAGGAATGATTGTAGAAAGATAAAATATAGGGAATAAGCTGTGCATCTTAATTTTTAGAACCTTGAAAAGTTCAGCTACAGCACATCATTTCCTCCCCATGAATTCAGACCCCGGCCTAAATTCTTTACGTGCTCATCCTCAGCAGTCCTCAAGGAAACCTGGGTCACACAGCAGTGCCTGCCTCAGTATGCCTGAAGAAATTCTTTGCAAATACAAAATCTTACTCTAACTGATACAACCAGTAAATTGGATGCAACTCTGCAAAGTAAAACTTCTTGTGTGCTTTAGCATATATGTTAATATCTTACACTTTTATATCCCTGTCTGTATTTTTAGCAAGTGAACAGATCCCCAGTTAGTTAGTATACATGGCTGTGATACTGCTCTTTTCATAAAAGATACAAACTTTAAGAAGCTATAACTCTGCCACCAACAGTTTCCACTCATGAACATTTCCATTTGAATTTCTAAAACTGCTATACAGATCCAGTACAATTCCTATTGAAATCCCAACAATATATTTCACTGAACTAGAGAAAATAATTCGGAATCAAAAGAGACCTAGAATAGCAAAAGCCATTCTAGACACTAGAGACATGACAGGGGGTATCACAATCCCCAATATGAAACTGTACTACAAAGCCACTGTGATAAAAACAGCATGGTACTGGCAAAGAAACAACCTGAGGATCAGTGAAATAGACTAGAAGTTGTAGAAACAACTCTAGACATATTTAGCTTTCTCATCTTTGACAAAGAAGCCAACCATCCTCACTGGAGGAAAGATAGCCTCTTTAATAAATGGTGTTGGAAAAACTGGATTTCAACCTGCCAAAGATTAAAACTAGATACCTATCTTTCCCCATGAACTAAACTAAAATCGAAGTGGATCAAAGATGTAAGTATTA